CCATCCCATCCCATCCCAAGGCCAGCCAGAAGGACAACGTGCAGCAACGGGCATGGGCTGCAAACAGTTTCTCTCTTTTTTACTGCTATCAGCAGATTTTCACAGTTGTAAATACTTGTGATGGGAGAAGGGAAGGCTCCAACACGAGCACGGGGAAGACGAAAGGAGGAAGGTATGGCAGCTCCCCAGCATCACCCAGCCAGCTCCTGCATTCCAAAGGTGATGTAAGGTGTCTGATTTTATTTTCGTTTCATGAACAGAATGGGACTGGGAAAAAAAATGGCTCAGGTCAGTCCAAAACTCAGACGAATTGTTGGCAGCACTGAAAATACACGTTCGAAAGAGTGCCTTCGGTATCCAAGGGAATATTTTATATCTACCCAAAAGGAACTATACAGGAGTCTTCACGGGTTATTTAACTCTCTGTCATCGCTATTTTACATTGGTGCCCAACCCTCCTCTGCATCATCACACTGACTCCATCCCGTGGCCTCCCCGTGTCCTCAGCCTGGGAAAAGGCACACAGAGCCCCAGGTTGGCTGTGCCCTGAGGACAAAAAGGGCAGAGCCTGGGCAAGGCACGGGAGCACCTCAGCAAGAACCTGCCACTTCCACCCGCCTCTTTTCAAAGAACGAAACCACTTGATAGACACCGGGGGAAAACCCCGAGCTGGGCGAGAACAGATACCAGACTTTAAAGACTGACAAAGGTCATGTCGAAACCTCCCGGTTCATCGAGTTCAGCGCTGTTGCGGCTGTGGAGCTGTGGGGACACTTGGTGGAGGGGCTGGGGGACAATAAACCCACCCAGTGTCCCAGGTTAGTGCTTGCCTGCTGGCAAACTCCATCCCAGCCTACCTTGAACTCTGCCTGCGTGGGCTCATCCAGAAGGTCCCCCAAAGGCAGGAAYTGCCTAAACATTGCCTTTTAAGGAGCAGCCCCATCCCGCTGCAGAATGCCTGTGCACCCTGCCCGGCAGCAAAGCAGTGGGTGCTGCCTGGTTCCTGGCTTGGGAAGGGAAGGGGTAAGTCCTCGAGCAGCTCCACTTAAATCAAAACCTCCTGCTGTAAGGATCACAGCCACGGCGCGGATAATATAAAAAAAAACACATTCCCCCGTCGTTATACCAATCCCTGCACATTTTGACAAGACTACTGAATCGAAGTTTATTGCATAATGGAAGTGTCATTAAGCAAGAACTTTTCTCTYGCTGGGTTTTTGTTCCCCTATTTAAGTTTAGTAACACGGTACTCCCCTTCACTGTCTCCCTTGGCACACACAAACCTGCCTTCTCCTGCCTGGAAACTCCCTGTGCAGCTCTGACTGTGGAGGAGAGCAGGCGACTCTGGAGTCTCCCTGTCCCAGGGCTGTTTTCTCTCAGCTCTCTGAACACAAACGACCTGGAGTTTGATGCCACACACAAGAAACTCAGCAAGGCTGGGATGATCTCCTGGCTGGCCAGGATCACTGTCCCCATCTGCCAGAGTACCCTGGGATGGTAGGGCTTTCCCTGGGACTCACATCTTGCTTAACTCCTCCAGCTAGGGGCTCTGACTGGTACCAGTACAGAGTATGGTCTGGGTGGTTGAGTCCTTATGGTGCCTGTGTCCCTAAGCCCAGCCTGAGCAGGCCACCACCCYCTGTGTCCCTGSCCAGCCATGCTGGCAGCGGGCTCTGCCACCGCCTTCTCCAGCCTCTGAGGTTACCTCCGGAGTTTCACAGCTGCTCTGAGTCGGAAACCCCCACCACGCAGGTCCCTGGAAATGCCAGACAGAACCAGTTTGAAGCATTAAAGCGGCTGCTTCCTGGCAGAGGGGAATTTGGCTTTTCTGTAGAAGTCTGGTGTTGCAATCTCAGTTTCCCAGGTTGTAAGGAAGGGAGAAACAATCAGCCATTGGGCTTTACACCAGCAAATCTCCCGGCCTCCTCCTGGCCCCTGGGCTGGAATAGTGCTACACTGCTCCCACGCTTCATCCTTCCTTCACACAGGCTTTGGCAGCTGGTATTAAGACTCCTTAAGTGCACCTCCAGCATCCAGAATGAAACAACAAGAGGCACTTTTTTAACGACCAGATGCTGATCTCCAAAATAAAGCAATGCTYGGAAAAGATCTCTCCAACGACCCTCCCCTGCCAGCATCTGCTCGCCCCATTACCTGGCCCCGGGCCAGCTTGCTTGATTAAAGTCTATCTATTAAGTTTTGCGACTACAGAGAGCCCTGTTCAGCAACGCACAGGATTGGCACTGGCTTGTGAAGAGGGCTGGAACAGCTTAAAGGCGAGYGAGCCAAACACTTTGGGATATTCACAGGCAAAGTAATCCAAGTCCACAGCTCCCATCGGCACCTGGGCAGCCGGCGCTCCAGAACGTGTAATCACCATCCCAGCAGCAGGTGCATTTTCCAAGCTGAGCCGAACCTGCTAGCACGCCTATTTGCCTTTGCCATCCCCGAACGGCGCTCATTTCCATTTTAATTTCCCATTTACAATCCTCTCCGGGCCAGGAGAGTCGGCAGCAACGCAAGCGGGACGCACGGGCCGGGGATGTGAGCTCGACAGCCCATCAACAGGACGTGACTTTGGCAAAAAATTAAAGCAGTGAAAGAGCTGGCGCAGGAACGGCACGAGGAGGGGAAGTGGCAAGAAGGGCTGTGCTACACTCAGCACTTTTTAAAAACGGTCTCAGCAAAGGCTCTGAATCAGCTCCAGGATGTAAAGTCACCCCACGCTGCCCGCAGCCCTGGCTCTCCAGAGCTCCCCAACACGTGCCTGCGGAGTGCTGGGGCTCGCTGTCCTCTCCCCAGATCCCAGAGCTGTGAACACAGGCAGACACCTTCTGTGTGCCTGGAACGGATCACACCAAAGCCACAAAGATCCCAAGAGCGGGGTGAAACCACATCCCATGCTACAGGCTCCAACACTGCAATGGACAAAGCATCTTCCCCATTTCCTACAGCCAACTCTTGCTCCATGGGGCACATGGGGCTCCAGCCACAGCCCAAACATCCCTGGTGCTGCCAGAGACGCTGAGATGCTCCCTGCAGCACCACCTGCCTTCCCCACGTCCTCCCGAGGCACGCTGGGGACAAACCGATGGCAAGACAGGCAGGATCTGGCCCCACAGCTCAGGACCCACCACTCTGCACCAATGCCAGCAGGCAGATGCTGCCCAGCCCCAATTGCTGGGGTAGCTCCAGCACAGAGGATAACAAAAAGAAAATGAGCATCTCACCTTTTTTAGCCGTCTCCATCTCCTCTTCGGTCCAGCGAGAGCTTTCATTCATTTCCAGGGAAGCTGGGAAGGAAGAAGGAAAGAGAGCAGTCAGCTGTGAGCGGGACCCAGCAAGCCCAGTGAGCTCACAGGAGATGTCCCCACAGCCAAACCCTGTCCCATGTTCCCCAGAGGCATGACAGAATCCCTGTGCAGGGCATTAGTGTGTCTGCAGGAAAGGTGCGAGCTCGTGAGGCTTTTCCACACCACYGCACCCTCGGGATGCACCTCAGTGAGTGATTCCAAACCTCCACTTTGGGCCTGCAAGCAAAGCCAGATGGCTTGAGGGTGGCAGCAGATGTCCTGCTGCCTTGGTGCCACGCACCCTGGCCCAACAACAGGTACCTAAGATGGAGCTGGCTGYGGCTGTGTGCTTTGGAGGAGGCAGACGCAGGGTGGGACCGTCACAGACGGAGAAACGGCGTCACCTCAGTGGTGGCTTTGGCCGACTGCATCTGTCGAGGGTGTTGGCCGTGTGTGACCGCGGCTCCCTCTGTGCCATCGCTGGGCTCTTGGACAACACCTYGAGCCGCCTCCAGCAGCAGCAGGGGCTCGTCTGGAGCTGTGCCCACCCAAGGGGACACGCTGCTCCAGCCAGGAGAGRCTGACAGGGGTGTCAGCATCCAAAGCTGCCCCTCTCCCCCACTCCAGGCAGGTGTTGGGGACACCGAGGTCCTGCATAAAGCCCTTCCCTATGCACCAGTCCTGCTGGCAGCCTGGCACAGAGCAAACCCTACAATAACAAACCGGGGTGTGAGTCAGAGACAAAAAACAACTCGGTAAGGAAACAGATTTCCGGCTCAGGCTGCCAAGGGGTTATTACTCTAAACAACAGGCAAAGCATTATTTCAACAGTGATGAGAGATGTTTTGACAGTGTCCTTTCAAAATGGAAAACAGGCTGATAGGTTCAGGATAGAGAATACAGGCGAGGAGAGAAGGAAGGATGTTCCAAGAAGCTCTACAAGAAGCTGAGACCCTGTGGGAGGACAGTGTCGGCTCCGATGCCCACAGAGGAATCTCAGGCTGAGCACRACTGCAGGTGTCACCTCCCGCAGGACAGCGCAGGTCACTGCCTCCCCCGGAGCCGTGTCCCCCSTGGGACATCAGCCAAGAGGGAGGGAAATCGATACCCCAGCGCTTCCCCCCATGGCTGCAGGCAGAGCCGAGGCCACAACGCTCATTTACGTAAAAACGAGTGTCCCCAGCGCTGTGCAGGCCCTCGGCTCAGCTGGTGATGGYTGCTATTGTATGGCACAGAAATGTCCCAGAAACGGCCCGTTTGGTTTGATTAATGCCATCGACTGAGGTTGCGCAGTTATGAAACAGATGCCCACGGGGAACTCGGCACGCTGCAGTTAAACCACAATACGGTTTTGTGTTGTTTTTTTAATGTTCAATTGGTATTTAAAACGCAGTAACTTTCTTAGCCAACCTAAATTAAAGAGCTATTGGAGAGGCATAAAGCGAAATCAATTGCTCAGATATGTCACTGGAATTGATCCATTCCTTTTCCCCAATTTAACACGGTCTAAAGGCTTTCCTCTGTGCTCGCAGTCAAGTTTATCAAGGACTCTGAGATACCAGGATAAAAAAATCCCATCTAAGTCGCTGGCATTATCTGCTGCTCCTCTGCAGCGCTGCTGAACAAGTTGGAGGGAGAGAGCAGGGCTCCGTTGTGCTGGGGACTATTTATATCGCCTGTATGAAAACAGAGCGCTCGCAATCAAGGCTTCAGCCAGTTGTCAGCAGAGAACAGGGAGGCGAAACACCTCCGCGTGATTTATAGCACATGGAACAGCACAGGCAAGAAACTGCAGAGCAAGGAAACCGAGAGGAGTCACCCTGCTTTTATTTTTACCTGCCTTAGGTAGCACAGCAATAATTTCGTACTTTGACAGAGTAGAAAGTATAGGGAAATCAGCCAAATTCCTCGATGCATTGGCTTCTGTAAGTCAATATGTGAGCTTGCTGCTTGGGGAGGCAACTTCTGATGCCAGAGGCACATGTGCCCAGTGCGGGGCTGTGGATGATGCCATGAATACCCATTCAGCCCGAGGCCACCATGGCACCATGGCACTGGCATAACCCTTTGCTGCATCAGCCCTGGATGGAAATGGACCAGCACAATGCCCAAGGAGGAGCAGCTCCCACAGGCTGCAGCTGCTCAGACCCCAGGCAAATTTGAAAACAAAACAGGTAGGAGAAGCAGCAGAGACCCAGGCAAGGCTGGAGGGCAGAGCAGGGTCCTGTGCTGAGGTTGAGGCGACTCAGAAGCCTGAGCAGATGCAAAGGGAACCAGCTCTAGGTGGAGGAGCAGGGACACAAGCCTTGCCAGAGCACTGCTAAAACTGACAGCATCCCTTTTCATCTTGTCCAACGCTTTCCCCGAGGCCATAAAACCCACTGACACTCAGCCAGGACAGSCCAGGCTTGCACATGCCCCCACTCATCCTGGTGAACCACGCTGAGTAATCCATGTGATACAGAGAAACATCACTGCCACTCCGCAGAAAGGATTTCACCAAGGGAACCCCAGTTCTGTGAGCAGGGAGCAGAGCAGGGTGATGCCCCATCCCAGCACGATGGATGCCCCAAAAGCCCAGCCCAGGGCAGGRTCCTGCTGTCCCCTGTCACCTACCCAGCTCAGCACTCTGCTGTGGTGTGGCTGCCTCCTCGTTGTTGGCCTCGTTGGCCATGGAGCGGGTGATGCGGCCCTTGCGCCGGCCCTGGCTGTTGGCGGTTTTGCGACCTTTGGAGGTGACCGTTTCCTTCTCATCGTTGTCTTCTCCGGATGTGTCGTCGTTCTTGTCCCTAAAAAAACAGGGAGAGAAAATAAAATACGTTGTTTGGTTGGTCTGATTTTTAGGTCAAGCAATTATTTCTCTGCACGTGTTTGGGGATTTTTTTTTGATTTTTTTTTGGTTGTTTTTTTAGGGGGGCAGGTCTGCAGTGTTTTTTGCAGACGCAGGCTCTTTTCCTGGCTGGGCTCGGCGGTGGGGTGATTTGTGGTGGGGTTTTCTTTCTGCAGCTGGCTGCAGCTCCACCACCAAGTGCACGCAGAGACCTGACGGAGACAGGTTTAATAACCAGACCATTCAAATTCATCCCTGCCTCCTCCTCATTTATCTTCCTGAAAGGGACCTGCTGGTAAATGTCTTTGCAGCCTAGATATAATGAAGCCAGATGTTCTTTTAAACCAAGTATTAAGCCCATTACAGATAGCGAGCGGTCTGCGTGCCAACCTTCCCCTGCCACGGCGCTGCTGCTCGGTGTGAGGGAGGCAGGGCTGGCTGGAGCTCTTCATCTGGGAGCGCTCACGTTGACAGCAATAACACTAAAGGTGAAGTGCCGCGCTCCGCCGCGCCCCGATCGCTCCTCCAGCTCCCAGAGGCTCTCGTAACAACAAAACAAGCAGGAGGATCGCAGAGGCTTTGCAGATTGATTGGGTTGATACAAAAAAAAAAAACGTATTGAGTTGGTTTCCCAGTTTAGGAGCAGCGGGGAAGAGGAATGAGGAGGAGGATGTKCCTTTGCCGCCCTGCAGAGGAGGTGAGGTGGGCACACACGGTCCTGCACGGGGTCCTGCATCCCACCACTGCAGCCCCAACGCTCTCACTGGAGCCATGCAGGGAGGATCATCCTTACTTTGTCAGTTCTTCTTTGTCATTTTCTGTCTCCTGCTTGTCTTCCTCCTTCTCTCCCTCCTTCTCYTTTTCTTTCTCCTTTTCATCTTTCTCTTCTTGGCTGCTCCGGGGCATTTGCTGCTGCTGCAAAACAAAGGACGTAAAATAAACCAAGCCCTGAGCGCTGAGGCGGACACATGGCAGCACCTGGGCCAACCCAAACAACTGCTGAGAAACAATGCTGGGGGCGAGGGGCCAAGAGGAAAGAGCTGCAGGCACAGGGTGCAGGCAGGGCACTGTGGAGGCCACGGGGGCTAAAAGCTTTCTAAGGAGATCACAGATAGCTCAGGATCAGGCATGGCAGCTGCACTGTGGCTCCTGTTCCAGGCAGGGGCACAGCCCCAGCTGCTCCCCTGGGGTCAGACRGCAAGCAAGGATCTGCTGTGGGGTAAGCAGAGAGGTGAGAGCGACCCTCCTGCTCTGGCTCAGCCACATGGGTGATGATTTGCAGCCAGTGGATTCATTTTGTTGGAGCACAAAAGAGACGGGGCACCAGTGACACCCCGAGGCTCGGCAATACCAACGCTTTCATCTTTTTCCCAAGCATCTGACACAGCCCAYGGGGAATGTTTGYKGCTCTGTGTCACCGAGCAGGGAAGRTGCCCAGCTCCTTGCCCACTCGGTGCCACCTGGCAGAGGCCATGAGCCCAACCACCCCAATGCTGCTGCGGCCGCTCAGCCCGAAGGCACCGCCGTACCCCAGGGAGGGACACGCTGATTATTACAGTTCTGGATTTTGTTTCAACAGCTGCAGGAAGGAGGTTGCTGGGAAGGCCTGGTTCCCCTGACCTCCCTTCCCTCTGGTGACCAGCAAACGAGAGGCATTGCATAGAGAAGTAGAAATTAGAGACGGAAATGATTTATTAAACCATCCTGCTCCTGGCTAATGCAAGGCTGCTTGCTCCAGGAAACCCACCCGGGCTCACCCGGCCCCTGCCCAGCCTGCAGGGCTTCCACCGCCCCTTGGGAAATGGTTTGGTGATGTAACCAGGGCTAAAATTGCCTTAAAATGGATTTATCAGCAGAAGGTGGCTGGTCTGGYTGGCGTGCAGCCATACAGCCAGCACAGATGAGGTGTCCCCACACCCCTGGAGCCAGTGGAACTGGCCTGTCCTCAGTCTGCAGGACTGGGAGGCTCCTTCAAGCACTGGCATCCCACGGCAGCAGTGCTGGGTGTGAGCAGAGCTCTCTGCCCCCACAGACTGGTGCCAAAATCSTAAGTATGGAGCTGTCAGATGGAGAAATTTAACGAGAAAACTGCTGATTCTTTCGGGCCCTGGTTCAACACAAGTCCTGGAAAGCCGGGGACAGCCATCACTGAAACCCCACAGATTTTCAGTTCCTCCTCRTACAGGGGGAGGCAGCTGTGCCATCAGAACCCTGGCACRCTCGGCCWGCCCCTGGAACACCTCTKCACACGTGCACAGCACAACTGTAAKGCATGAGCTCACASTCCTGCTGCTCTGGGAATTGYTCGTGGGATGCAAGGCTGGAAGGCCCAGGGGAGATGGAGTCAGGGAACAGTTGGGATGAGCACTCGGTTGCTTAGGATTTTCCAGAGTCCACAGAGCAAATGGCCAAGGGAAGTGTCACTCCCAAAGTACCGGGCAGTGCCCTTGTCAGCCCCCAAAGTGGGGAGAAGGAGGAGGACAGTGCCAGCTGGGACGGGGAGGAGGGGAAGGCTCAGTGGCTGCAGAGGAGCAAGGGGCATCCATCATGTGCATCTCCCCATTGCTGCCCAGAACTCTGTGACTCTGACTCGCKCCATGGTGACCCCTGAGCAGGTTCAGCCTGGACAGACACCCACGAGGTGAGGGCTGCGACTTCTGAGGGCTGGGTGAGCAGCAGGACAGGCTCTGGCCATCATCCCCAGCCCTGGCCATCATCCCGACCTGCATTCCCCTCACCAAAGGCTTTGGTAAGGGAAGGGGGCCCACATGAGGTTCACAGTATTTCCAACACCCCATTGCAAGTATTTGCTTTTGAGGGATGGGGGAAACGCTGCATCCCAGAGATCCTTGAGCTTCAAACCCAGCTGTGCCCACGCAAGTACCTGCCCCAGCTTCAGGCTGGAGTGAACTTCCAAGGAAGGTCCAGCATCACCTCACCCTGTCCCTACACTCATTTGAGGAAGGGGGCTGCCAGCCTGAGCAGCCATTGCAGCTTTTTGCAGGGAAACAGGCTGGAATGGCAGCGATGCCAAGGAGCTCCCTGTGCCAGCCTGCACACACAGGAGCAGGAAGGCAGGCACAGATCAGAGTGCCCTTGGTGGCACACACTGCAACACAGAGCCATCTGCCATGCTTTGGTGTGATGAGGGTGGCCAAACCCCTCTAGCCTGGCTTCACTGGGGCATTGCACATCCCTCTGCTCCTGAACRTTTCAAGCCCAGCCTGGCAGGACATGAAATTAAGGCTTCTCCCAGTGGAGAGGCACATCTCAATCCAAGGATGCCCTCTAGTGATTGCCCTGCTCCGGCCACGGCTGGGTGCCCGATGCCAGGAGCCACTGCCAGGTGGGATCAGCACCCAGCAGGACACACAGGACAGGTCCCACCTGCCAGCCGGGTGAAATACATAAAATGGGCAGCATGGTCACCAGCAGGCCAAGGTGGGACAGCTGACCCAGCTCCACCCYAGGCTGGGCTCATGTCTTCATCTGAGGAAAGCTCCCAGCCAAATGCTGATGTGAACCCTGGCAAGCCCACAGCGATGGCTTATCTCCTGTACCAGAGCTCGGTTGCATAGCAGAGCACCCACCAAACACCCCAGGAAACACCTCAGCACATGAATGCCCTCTCACATCCCATCTGGGGGTACCTGCTGGGCTGGAGGCTGTGGGGCTGGCACAGAGCACCAGCCCTGGTCATGGGGCTGGCACAGAGCACCAGCCCTGGCTGTGGGGCTGGCATTGAGCACCAGCCCTGGTTGTGGGGCTGGCACAGAGCACCAGCCCTGGCTGTGGGGCTGGCACCGAGCACCAGCCCTGGCTGTGGGGCTGGCACAGAGCACCAACCCTGGTCATGGGGCTGACACCGAGCACCAGCCCTGGCTGTGGGGCTGACACCGAGCACCAGCCCTGGCTGTGGGGCTGACACCGAGCACCAGCCCTGGCTGTGGGTCTGGCACAGAGCACCAGCCCTGGCTGTGGGGCTGGCACAGAGCACCAGCCGTGGCTGTGGGGCTGGCACAGAGCACCAGCCCTGGCTGTGGGGCTGGCACGAAGNCCGTGGCTGTGGGGCTGGCACAGAGCACCAGCCCTGGCTGTGGGGCTGGCACGAAGCACCAGCCCTGGCTGTGGGGCTGGCACAGAGCACCAGCCCTGGCTGTGGGGCTGGCACAGAGCACCAGCCCTGGCTATGGGGCTGGCACCAAGAACCAGCCCTGGTTGTGGGGCTGGCACCCTGGGCTCCTGAACGAAGCCATTCCAGAGCTCGGCTACAAATGGCACACACAGACGGGACCAACCCCCGACCATCAGCAGCTGGCCCAGCCCCTCCATGCCATGTSCTGTACCCCAAACCTCAGATTGGCACTGGAACCAGAGCACAGCACGGCACAAGGGAGGGAAGGAGCGCTGGGAACCCGTGAGYCGGCCGGTCCCCCCTCCCGGCGCTCTGCCCCCGCGCTCGGTGGGGAGGCTATTCTTAGTGCTGGACACGGACCAGCTCTGGATGATTCAAGGGACGGGACGCCATCCCAAAGCGTGACGGGCCAGGAAATGCTTCCCCAATTACCAGCTGATGTTTCCCTGTGATTCACACCGCCCCGGCTAGAGGTGGACTGGCAGGTGGGTCGGCCCTTAGCGGACATGCCAAAGGCCGGCACCAAAACTGCTCYGCTCCCGGCAAGATTAAACCTCTCTCTGTCTGCCTACATCCCTGCCAGCCTGGGGATGAGGCACTCAACCTCCCACAGATAAACCAGGTACGTGCTCCCCTCCTTGCACAGGAGGGCGAAGGGACGAGCCCGAGGCCAGGGAAGATGCCTGTGGCAGAGGGCAGGGCTGTCCCTCCCTCCCAGGTCAGACGCTCTAACCCCGGACCGCCCTTCCTCCTCCTCCTCAGCATCGCTGCTGCTTGTTTTTGCTGCCGRCGCATCCTGTTTATTTAAAAAGGCCCCAGGACAAAATCGGACGCGGGACGCGTGAGCCACAGGCCGACCCTGCCCCGAGTCCGGGGGGACCGGCCGCCTCCTCCGCTCGCCGTGCAGCTCCGTAATCACAAACACCGCTCACCTCTGCCCCCGAGCCCCGCGGGCCCCGCAGCAGCTGGGGAGGCGCAGAGCGCTGCCAGCTCTCCCGGGAACACGGCGTTCCCGTGGCCGGGGCTCCCATCGCAGCGCCCGGCACCGCGCACCTCYGGCTCCACCGGGCACGCCACCAGCGACAATAAAGCTCCGTCACCAAACGCGCTTTCGGGGGACAGCGGCATCCAGGTAGGAGCCGGGCACGCTGACCCTGTTGGGAACGGACCGACTTGCGGCGCGTTCCTGACAGCGGGACGTGCCGGGAGAGAGCCCCGGCGAGGAAGAGGTGCAGCTCCTCCCACTCTGTTTACTTCCTCTGCCGAGGCACTGCCTGCTTCTGGGAGGGCAGYGGGAGGTGGGGGAAGCGGCTCCCCACCTTTGCCCTCCGCAGCCCCGCCGGACACGCCGGACACGCCGGAGCCGGTGGCACAGACAGGGTGAAGGCAGCCAGGACGCCCTGGGCAGCCGGCAGCGCGTCGCTCGCCTCGGAAGCGCCCCGCTYCAACGCTCCCCGGATCCGCGGCCCCTCGTCCCCCCCGGATCTCTCACTCACCTCCCCGCTCCCCGGCTCCCGCGATCGGCCGGTCCCCGACAGCCCCATGGCCGGCTCCCGGCCCCTGCTCACCGCCCAGCCATCCGGGCGCGCTGTGCCTTACGTTCTCCGGCTCTGAAGGCTTCCTGACGATTTGCATAGTTAAGCCGTAAACTAACCACAACATTCCTCTTATGATTTTGCAATCTGCTGGAATAACGTGGTCGCTCTAAGTCGAGCGATGAATCATCATCTATAAACCACAGCTCTCGTCACCGGGGCTCTCAGTGCTGGCTGCTGCCTGC